CGTCTGTGGGACGCACAAATGTCCCACTTGAGGACCAACTAGGGACGTCCTTGAGGGATGTCCCTGGGACAACTATCGAATACCTAAATCCTACAGTATTCCTCATCAAGCACTACACAGGACATCCTTGGGACATCCATAGGACAACCTATCAGCAACGCTGAGGGATACCGATTGGATGTCCATAGGTTGTCCCAGGGACGTACGAATCATTCTTGAATTCGAATTTTTCTGGGTCCCTCTAGGACCAGATCTTGCATAACTGATTAGGACATCCAGTTGAGTTGATGGTCCGTTGAAGGTCCCCAAAAAGTGTCCCAAGGACGTCCAATGGACTTACGTGAAGGACATTGACAAGGAGTACTTATAGCCTACGAGCAATCATTCGTCGGCGAGGTGTAAGTTAACGTCCTCGACTGGGACGTCCATAGGACGTTATTTCTTGGACATTGGAAGAGTACAGTTCATGTACCAATTGGGACATCCGACGGATATCCCTAAGGGACATTCGAAGGATGTCCCTAAGGGACATTTCGATTGTTATACGATCCTGGAAATATTAAGGGCGTCTGTGCAGAGATATTTGGAGAAATGTACCATCAGAGACATTTCATGGTTGTCTAGAAGGGACATTATATAAGATCTGAAGTCATGCCAGAATATGTACTACTCGGGACATCCGATGGATGTCCCTAAAGGAACGTTTAAAATCATATCCCATCAGGGACATGCCAAGGACGTCCTTGCATGGACATTTTACAATATGTACCACGTGGGACGTCTAAGGGATGCTATTTCTAGGACATTTGAAATGATGTACCAGCTGGGACATTCCGTGGACGTCCTTGCTCGGACATTGCATGAGATGTACGGGATGGGACGTCCCAAGGACACTTATTTTTGGTTCGGGACATTCGGACGTGAATTGTACCAAATAGGGACGTCCCTAGGACGTTGTGTGCCATAAGGGAATATTCCTTACTACCAGTAGGTTTATATTAAATTTGTTTCGCCACTAGCAATATACACTGTGTCCATAAAGTCACCCCCCCCCCCCCTGGTTAACTCAAGAACGGATGGGATTTTTTTTTTCAATTTTTTCCTGCTTCAATGGTAGTTTCAGTGCTACATATTGTTAAAAAAAATATATATGTACCTATCCTCCAAAATGGCGCCTGGGCGCCATTTTGAAAGATTTTTTTAAATGGAGTGGGGGGTCGAAAGATATCTCGATTGAAAGGTCTTTCGATTCTCTATACAACCTCAGAATCTTAGACAAAAATATTCATCCAAAACAAAATGGCGGATGATAACGTTTGAAATCTCACACCAGAATTCTTTCGACTGGATGGCTATTAAAGTGCTCGCATGTGATCTTCAAATCTTTATTGGCGTATAGAAGAGTTCTCTATCTATGAAGATATCAATAGAAAGCCATTTTGAAGAGAATAACATGGTAGTCACGTGGAATAAACATTGTTCTTTATTTTGAATAAATATTTCAAAAATTTTGCAGAATTTGGAAAGACAATCGAGCAAAGGTATGATTGACTACCATGTTATTCTCTTCGAAATGGCTTCCTATTGATATCTTCATGGATAGAGAACTCTTCTTTACGCCAATAGAGATTTGAAGATCACATGCGAGCACTTCAATAGCCATCTAGTCGAAAGAATTCTGGTGTGAGATTTCAAACGTTATCATCCGCCATTTTGTTTTGGATGAATATTTTCGTCTGAGATTCTGAGGTTGTATAGAGAATCGAAAGACCTTTCAATCGAGGTATCTTTCGACCCCCCACTCCATTTAAAAAAAATCTTCCAAAATGGCGCCCAAGCCCATGACCATGACAGCATATGTTATGACAAGTCATTATTGATAAATACCTACTAGATTCCAGTGCCATTCCTGAGAATTTCTGATCAGAACTGTGCATTCAAGTTAATTACAACAGGTGGCTATGTCATTATTGACTATACCTTTTCAACTCCAATTTCGGAATCGGTAAGTTATATTTCGGAAAATGTAATCTCGATTTCAGAATTGGTTAGTTCGATTTCAGAAATGGTAAACTCAATTTCAGAATCGGTGAGATGAATTTCAGAAAAAGTCCATTCAATTTCAGAAATGGTAAGTTGTATTTCATAATTGGTAGGTTCAATATCATAAAAAAAATCCTTATATTTGTTCAAAATGTTTCCAATTGCATATGAGATTAACAAACCATATTTAAAATATTCAACTTTTCAAAAACAATTTAATCCACAGATGCCTTCCATCTGAATCGCTGGAAGATAGTGCGGCGTTGCACATGATTATAAGAATGCAAACACATTTGAGGTGTTATCATTTTCATTGAATGATCTGCACATTCTTCAAGACATCGCAGTCTGAATTCTATCTGGTTGAGCAATCTGTTCGGATCTCCAGCTATGAACCTTTGGCGATGCATAGGGCTGGGAAAAAATATCGATATATCGATAAATATATCGATATATCGATATATCGAATAACGATATTTAAGTTTTTAAATATCGATATATCGATTTATCGATATATCGATATATCGATAAATATCGATAAATATCGATAAATATCGATAAATATCGATATATCGATAAATATCGATAAATATCGATATATCGATATATCGATAAATATCGATAATTATCGATAATTATCGATAAATATCGATAAATATCGATATATCGATAAATATCGATAAATATCGATATATCGATAAATATCGATATATCGATAAATATCGATATATCGATAAATATCGATATATCGATATTTAAAAACTTAAATATCGTCATTCGATATATCGATATATCGATATATTTATCGATATATCGATATTTTTTCCCAGCCCTACAGTTATCAGGCCTTATTTGTTAATTACCCTGGGTGATCCCCACACACAATTCGAAAATACTCACAAATATCACAGAATACAGTTATATAGGTACTTATAAGATTTGAGTATATAAGAAAAAGGAACGAATATCGAAAATGAACAACAAAAATACTGAACAAACAAAAACTAAACGTAAGAAACAAACTGTTATTATAGAGGTATATAAAAAATTTTATTTGATCTGAATCAGATGGAGTATTTCCCTTTATTTTTTGGTTTATATACAGTGTCTTTCAAAAGTATCGGAACGGTCTCATATTTCAGGAACGGCTTGAGAAAAATTCACGAAATTTTCTACAGGGTGATTATTGATGATGTCCGATTCAATGGTGGCATCGGCAATGTTGCCAAGTTTACAGTTTTTCAGATATTAGGAGTAACTTTATTTTTTCAAATGGAATACCCCATTTATTTTTATTGCAATTAATTGAGCGCCTCCTAATTACTTGAGTCCCTGAATATCAGATTCGTAATTAACGTGATTTTCGAAATATGACAACATAGCATTTTCGTTAAAAAGTTCTGGAACGGTCCCATATTTCAGAAACGGGTCAGAGAAAATTTATGAAAACTTCGACAGGATGATTGTTGATGATGCTCGATTCAATGGTGATATCGGCAATGTTGCCAAATCAACAGTTTTTCAGATATTTAGGGTAACTCAATTTTTTCAAATGGAATACCCTATTTGTTTTCATTGCAGTACATTCTGCGACGCCTCTTTACTTATGTCTCCAAATATCAGATTTTGAATTGAAGTGGTTTTCGAAATATGACAATGAGGCGTCGCTGAATGTATTGCAATGAAAACAAATAGGGTATTCCATTTGAAAAAATTGAGTTACTCTCTATATCTGTAAAACTGTTGATTTGGCAACATTGCCGATATCACCATTGAATCGGGCATCATCAGAAACCATCTTGTATAAAATTTCATGAATTTTCCTTGAACCGTATTGAAAATATTAGAAGGTTCCCAGACTTTTGAAAGAAAGTGCCATGTTGTCATATTTCGAAAACCACTTCAATTCAAAATCTGATATTCGGAGACACAAGTAATGAGGCGTCGCTGAATGTATTGCAATAAAAACAAATAGGGTATTCCATTTGAAAAATTGAGTTACCCTAAATATCTGAAAAACTGTTGGTTTGGCAACATTGCCGATATCACCATTGAATCGGGCATCATCAACAACCATCCTGTCGAAGTTTTCATAAATTTTCTCTGAGCCGTTTCCGAAATATGGGACCGTTCCAGAACTTTTTAACGAAAATGCTATGTTGTGATCATGGAGTGATATTTCGAAAATCACGTTAATTACGAATCTGATATTCAGGGACTCAAGTAATTGGGAGGCGCTCAATTAATTGCAATAAAAATAAATGGGGTATTCCATTTGAAAAAATAAAGGTACTCCTAATATCTGAAAAACTGTAATCTTGGCAACATTGCCGATGCCACCATTGAATCAGACATCATCAATAATCACCCTGTAGAAAATTCCGTGAATTTTTCTCGAGCAGTTCCTGAAATATGAGACCGTTCCGATACTTTTGAAAGACACTGTATACATATCATATCATTAGTACCTAAATGTACCTAAATGTACATTTATTACTTATTTTGTTAGATTAATTTTGACAGAGCGTGCCGAAATAACATGCAATTCATAAATGTATGTGATTAACTGAAGATTAATATTAATATAGGTAATTATAATCATAAAAATTGTCAAAATATTGTCCAGTAGATTATTAAAATATTTCAGTAGATCAGTAGATCGATATGCAAATCAGGAGATCAACTGTACATTTAGTAGAACTGGCAACCCTGCAGCAGACGAAGAGTGTTTGCGGACGAAAAGTTAGTGTCTGCGGACGAAAAGTTCTTGCGTTCTAAAATAGTCGGTTTTTCGTTCGGAAATTAGAACGTGAAATGTGATTTTTTGTAGAGGTCGAAGAAAAAAACATATTTGTGTCTCATGTTTTGTGTACAGCTGTTCAACATCATGTGTCCACACTATTTGAAGAACGTGAAATGAGATGTTCGAGGCAGTCTAGGTATGACGTTCTACTTACTGTTCTTAGATCGAATACCAGCAATCTTGCAGGACATGTTATAACATCGTTGAGTGGTCCTATGTCTATAACCCAGAGTCTTTCACATTCATCAATCTGTAAATGATGTATAAAATATTCACAAAAATTATGGAGAAAAAATTGATATATGGGTCAATAACATCTCGCCGAACGGACAAGTCGCCGAATTTTTGGTCGAAACGCAGAAACAGATCGGTGGATACTTTGTTGAAAGTGGTCATGATGCCGAAAAATGCCAGTGGACAGGTTGCCGAAAAGTGGTCATGTTGCTGTAACGTATGAAACGACGCTGCATAGATCGGAAATGTTGCGTCGAAACAGTGAGCTCTAATTTGCCTAATATGGCGAAGCAATTCTTCGAACACATCGCGAAATAACAGACATAATGTCACGAATAGGGTTATTTTCTTGAATTCCATTTGAATTCTTCTTGTTTTATTATTTCCAAAATTTTCGAATCGTGAACGAACTTTTTTTTCATAGTAGTTGAACATAAACACAGACGTGTCATTGACTTCAACGAACCTGGACTGTCGACTTGATTTCCTTACTGTCTCGTTTCCGAAAATATAGACAACTATTTGAAAGACGTAAGGAAGCGGGTTCGACAGTTCGACTACCAGTTCGACTACCAGTTCGACTGCGAGTTGGACAGCCAGTTCGAGTTCTAGCTCGGTCTTTTGATGAACACGAGTTAGGAAAGTCTGAATTATATCCATTGTAAGTTTGTAAAGTTGCCACTGTGCCCGAACCTTCGGAGTTCGGACAGAACAGAAGATGTCCTTCCTCAGGCTCCCAGAAATATCAGTTAATGTGTACATATAAGGTGAGTTAAGTTTTTATTTCATTATTATTCATTGCCAAGAATAAATGTGTGTGTATGTTTTGTTTGTAAACCTTCTTATCACTTTTGATGTTCATTCTCTAATGGATCTAAAACACAACTGAGGCAACCCCCGTCTACAGTTTGGTCACATCGCTGAACGATATTGTCGCAACTCAGATGTTTGACCCCCCTATAGGTCGTGAATTAGCTACTCGCTTGGCTTATCGACGAGAGGGTTTTGATCATTTCACTATCCAACCCTATTCACCTCCAAATATAGAGACCGGACAATTTTCATATGAAAGTAACATTTATTAATTAAATGAAAAGATTCATGAATAAATTCTGCCACATGGCAGGTTAACAAAAGAAAAAAAAAAGAATAACGCAAAACAACACAAAAAAACAACACTTACATTATAACGTCTAGCAAGGGGTTGACCAGCAGGCTTGAAATTGGGGAGACGGCGAACATTTTCATTTGATGATCACTAGAATGACTTGTGTCGATAATGAATCATGATTGAACTTATAATGCCTTGTATTGATAAAGAATTATTGCTTCATCGATTTGGGTACTATTAAATATTCGGAATCGGTGCAAGGTTCGCAGTTTTCTACACTGGGAACGGTCGTTACTTTTCGATATCGCTTACCTAGGTATTATCGCCGCGGTAAGCGATTCCTTTGCAAATTATAAATGAAATGATGTCTATGAACTCCGCTGGCCTTATCGAACTGCAATGTACTGAATGTTTTAATTTGGAAGAGTTAGTTAATGATAAAAGATCTTGAAACGAACGAGAGTTTGAGTGGTGTTAATTCCTAGGCATTTATACTTCTTGACAATATGGTAACGCCGAAACAGCTCTTCGGACATATCTACGCGTACTGAAATGTAGGGGATACATAAATAAGGGGATCCCAACTGCGAATTTCAAAGGAATTGAATCTCTTCTACAGTTTGTCCCCACCCTCGTATTTTGGAAAAAGATGAACGAATATTTTTTCAAATGTAGTAATAAGAAAAAAACAATCAGATGGTCCCTTTCTCTGCCATCCGTATTGTAAAGAGACATGGTTTTTCATTATATTGGTCCATATTCTAGTTAGATAAAATGATCTACAAATGGAATAAGAAATCAATTCATGGTTGTTGATAGTATAGATAAAGAAATGTTGATTGTACACGATTATTTATCATACCTGAAAGCATGTTATTGAAAATAATTTTCTGAAGGTGGAATTCCTTGAGAACCCTTCCTCGCAGTGAGTATAATTTCAAAACAGATCTCATTCTAATCCTCACAACGTTCAGTCTTTCACAAGGGAGATATGAATTCACGAGCAATTACAATGTTTTCCCTTACATAGGTGGTAGTGAAGGTACCCAAACGTGGTATATTATTGTTATATACTTCACTCGAAAACAAAAAATTCGCTACAGGCACTAAAATTCCAGCGAAAAAACGTTGTTGCTATACAGACATCTGAATAATCAGTGCACCCTACCTAATGATTCACTACCACAAGCTAGTCATTATCACTTTAGATTCAGTTAGCATCACGTGATGCTAGGCCACTTCTGGCCATAGAGACACTGGCATATTTCGCTAAGATCACAACCCAAATTTAGTGTTTATGATCGATAATAATTTTAGGAGCACTGAGTTTCAAGTGCATTAAGTTGGTAATTTTGTTAACTACTAGCGCCGAATACGAATGATTGTCGATACGATCTCGTTGTTCGTATAACTAAATTGTCCAGGAATAGCAACAATTCCTTTTTACCCAAACTGATGTTGCTATTTGCACTGAACCTATTTTTTTTCGTGCATAGGCAGATATTTACCCCATTCTATGAAAACAGCTAGTATAGTATCACATCCCATTAATGTATGGAATGCTGGTAATCCATCACAAAAAGGTTTTCCTAGTTATCTGGCTCTCTCCTTGAAAGTTTCGAGTGACATTTTGATACTCCCTGGCATTATTTTAACAGTTGCTATGTGTACAAGATGATTGATGATTAATCCACGAATTTTCTATCAATGATACAATCTTTTCAACATCAGTTTAATCTTTCTTGAAACAGGACACAATAATAGGTGGCGGTATTTCATGGAAAGATCGTCTCGCAGACCGGGTAGCGGGGGTAGTGACATGTGTACAGAAAAACGCTTATATAAAGAGATCTGTTCAAGATAGATCCTCAATAGAAAATTTCCACAGTTTTTTATGTGAAAAAAAAAGTATCATTCATTGGTCGAATTAGAAATGTATTAGGTGTTGAAGGAAACAGAAATGTATTAGGTGTTGAAGCAAACTGAAATGTGATAAAGAAGTGTAATCCTCAATGATCAACAAATTCCAAAATTCCAAAAATTACATATATCTGAGTCAAACTGTAGCTAAATGTTTTCTCAATAATTTGGAGAATTCTATTTCCTATCTCCTATCATAGTTGCAATATAGCAATATATCAACCTAATAAGAGAAAACAAGAAATTCCAGTTTTTCCACGTTGATCCCAATATACATTTCCTCGGCCAATGGAGAGTGTCGTAAATCTCCAAGACACAATCATGTAAAAACGATGTATATAAAATGATCTCAGGGTTTCATCAAGTTATACTCCATGATTGCGTTACTCGATAAATAGAGACTATCCGCAAGAGATCTGCTAGAGCGACATACAATCGAGTAGCTTTCATTCATTAGTAGGTAGCAATTAAGAAAAGAGTTTTTGGGAAGTGATGGAAAAGAAGTAAGTGCTGGTGAAAAATTCTTGATGTTTTAGGCACGGATGGAGCTTTGAATCAGCAGATTTATCGAATTAAATTTTTTTATTTGTTCAGATAGATTATCTGTAATATTATTATTTGGGATTGATATTCCATTCTGTTGGCGAATATCCAAACTCAGCATTGAAAAGCATATGGGCATCTTACGTTTGGTTCCTTCATATAGTTTTTCAGTGGGAAATAATCTATTACCAAACATACCTTCCCAAACTATAATAGGATATCTCATGACTGATTCTGCGAGTGAGACGTAGATAGTATTTGAATTTTTCATTGTTAGTACTCCTCTCAAATTATAGAATTTATTTGTTAATTGATTAAGTCTCTTTGCTATAGAGATAGCGTGTTCGTCCATCTCATATGTTGGTCCAAAAGGATTCCTGAATATTCAATACTTGCAACTTTCACGATTGTTGACTTTTCAACTCAACAAACTCTTTGGTTCAAGCATTTTGGTAGAGGGTATATGAAAGTTCATCAATTCAATAATTACAATTGAATACAGATAATGATGGATCGATTACTATTTTTCAATAAATGTTATTGAGATTATATTTATTATTTTTCGATACATAACATATATAATTGCATTTTATGTGGTATTAGACAGGTGTGTAGTTGTTTTTAAATTTTATATAAAAAATGGCAGCTGTATGAAAATAATGAATTCTGTTCAATGTTTCGAAAAATTTTTCATAAGAAAGCTGAATTCATGTACTAATATGAGAAGAAATTTTCTCTACTACGTGTCTTATAGACATTCCGTTTGGTTTGCAATAAATTTGATAAGATTTCATTTGATCCAATTCAAAATGCTCATTCAATGCCGTTTCGAATAGGTGAATTTTTGCAGGTTTCTACGACTCCTTCTTAACACTTTGCTTATATTGGAAATTTTTTGCTCAAGGAGAAATCCAATGAAATCAGTTAATTTGTGGTCATATGAATGAACAAATCCAATCAAACCAACATTATAGTGACAATTGCATGCAGTGCAATTATCAATCACTGTGACAACACGATTGAGTTTGACTCGCCGAATATCCCTCAGACATTGACAAATGCCTCATAATTTTATGACGACAAGATCGTTGCATTAACAAGGAATGAGCTTCTGATGGTCACAAAATTATTTGGACATTGATAATAGTCCTAGATATATTACTACCAATAACTTTCATTATATTGCATAGTGTGCTGCGAAAATATCGAATAGACACAAATATACTTCATTCTTCAAAAAACAAATCATCACTTTCCGAAACCTTGGTTCAACAAGAACTGTTCTAGAGTTGTTGCCTGGAAACATACCATCATCGCTCTGGCACATAAACCCTTACCTCATAACTAGAACAGAATAGGTTGAAGCTAGGAAAAACTGCAGCCAAACAATAGATGCATCAAAAGAAACAATATTTCGAAATAAGATCGTAACTCATAGATTGTCCCAATGGCACCGTTCATTTTTTTCCCTCGCCAGAGCAGTCGTAAGAAATTTCACTAATTGTTCATTACCACCACTCTCCAAAGCCGACGGCACATAAGCAACAATATCGCTAGAGAAAGCGAACATTTTTGCAAATATGTTCGTAGCAAACTCCACCTTAGATTCTCATGGAAGAGTGGCGCTAGATATTCCACCTGTTGAAAGTCGAATGCCCGAAATCGTCTTTTATCAATGCACCATCAGACGCATTTTGCTTGATCTCCAAACGGACGAACGAAAAATGAACAAGAACCTACCCACCAGGGGTCCTATTGTCCTGTTATCAGTTATTATCAAAGTGATGGAAACATCTATCAACATTAAGATCATCAAATATCTGGTAAGCTCCGTAACCATTAATGATAGACATTATGGCTTCCGCCATGAAAGATCAACGGGATATTCACTTGCCTACGTCACCCATATATGGCAATCATCATAAGAAAAACATAGGGAATCTCTAGCTGTGGCGTTAGATATATATCGAAAGAATTCGTTCGTGTTTGGCACCGAAGACTTCTCCACAATTCCATCGAGTTTTCTTCCAGGCAGATCACTCCATGTGCTTGTGGACGGAGTATTATTGTCTCATACCATTGCCATCATTGCGGGCATACCACAAGGATCAATTTGGCACCAACATTGTTCGAACTTTATATCAATGATCTGTTGGGAGAATCCACTTGTCCTATTCGCAGCTCTGCAGATGAAAGTACTCTCCACATACTGTATCCTCTTCAAAAATTCACATTTCTTCTCAGGGAACTAAGAACTCTCGATGAAGGCAGTTTAAAGCTGTCAACTTGCTGAAATTACAGCGTGGGAAACTAACATCCTGGTTGAATTCAACGATACCAAAACTCGAGCCTGTATTATAACTGAAAAGGCAGAAAATAGTATGCCTGATATATCAATGTCTGGTACCACCATTGCCAAAAAGTCCACTATTTATGCTCAGTATTTCCATCAACAATACTCTTTCATTGAAAAATCATTTCAGTTCCATCGCGGAAGCTGCTTCACAAAAACTAGGATTTTCATCCCGTGCGAAAATCAGCTTCTCATGATATACAATGCAAAGATACTGCCTATTCTAGAATACTGTTCCCACATATGGGATTCAGAACACAAACAAATGCTGATGCTCTCAAATTCCATCCAGAGAAGAGTTCACACTCACTTATACTTTGACTTCATTATAACACCATAGAAAAGTCGGCGACCTTTCACTTTTCTGTATAGATACTTTTGCGAGAAATGTTCTTCAGAATTCTCTACTATAATTTCATCACTAGCAATACCAGTCAGACGAACTCGACAAGCCCATTGAGCACATGTTATCGTTTTCAACCTTGAGATATATCGAACACCAGAATTCGCTTGTCTATAGAACGTGAAAACTTTGGAATTATTTGCCAAATGAAGTATTCCCAAGAAGTTATAATCTCGAAAAGTTAAAACAAAATCCGATACCTACCTCCTCTCATTATCATTTCAGGGATTTTTTTGCGTGCGTCTCTGCGTACTTGCCTTCCAAAATAGTCGATTTTCCATCCGGAAATAAGTATGTGAAATGTCGACTGAATAAGTTTTTTTTCTGTCATTTTAGAAAATATTGAGTTTTCAGTTTCGACGCTGCATTCTCGATCTATGCGGCGTCGCTTCGGCAACTTGTTCACTGTCGTTTCCGGCATGATGACTACTTTCGACAAAGTGTCCACCGATCTGTTTTGGCGTTGCGATAAAAAATTCGATGACTCGTCCATTCGGAAGTAAAGTATCATGGACCCGTATATCAATTTTCAGAGTTATCGGATCCCTTATGTACCCTACCGAATACCAGAACCTCAACACTATTTTCATACTCAATATCAAAACCAACTACGTAATCTTCCGAGTCGTTTATGTTTCGTGAAAATAACATGAATGCAAGCTATTTAACAAAGCATGGAACAATAAGTGCAATACTGATGAGGCTTAGCAAGCCGGAACACTTTGTCTTTCATCAACTGACAATCGATTCTCTAAAATACCCTAGCTATAATCTATTGTCTTGAAATCCTAGGTTTCGTAATGAGTAAGTTATTGGTGAGACAGTGTAGTGTGAAGAAACTGAAAATATATCAGATCATAAATATAGGACACGATGTCCGAGCGGTTTAAAGCAGGGCCAACTCTATATCACCAGGCCGGAGCAACGCTTTCGTGACGTCACACTAGTAGTGACAAAATCAAGGCGCTGGAAATTGCGTTTCCCAATTCATTGATGTATCACGGGGAAACGGTAACAGTTATCAAAAAATGTCAAGAGATAAAATATGTACAGACTAGACTTTTTAGAATATAGCATATTAACATGAATTGACTACATTCATAATTGTTTTTTAAACAGCTGCTAGAATTTCAATATTCAATCCACAGACACGATTCAACCATGCAAAGGCTTCTCATAGTATCTAAATTGACTGTAATTTTGTTCAAAATTCCAAGAGCCAATAACAAACCAATATTTCAATTCGAGTAAAATGGTGATTCAGATGATTATTACAGACTAGTTCAAAAAGTTTAGACGGCCCCCATGCTAAACCTATTAGTTGTGGATATATGCTGTCAATGACTTTTCTGTAGTAAATTTTATTGCCCACAAATCGATATAATACACTTTTACTGTATCTCAGAGGATTTTAGCAGCGTTTATGTCTATGTCTAATCTGGACACACTTTGATGACGTTAGAAATTATATACCTACCCGAGAAGAACATTTTCAAAATATGAAAATCAAAATGAACAAAAAATAGTAGTTCTCATGCACACAATACTGAACGAAAGCCATTCTGGAAATCTTCAACATAATAAAAGAGAAAAAATTGCCAGATATTACAAAATAACATTTACTTATAAAAAAATATATATAACACAAACTGAAAAATGGGCTCAAAGCTTCATATTCATCCGAAAAGTCTGATGATTCTTATTTTCTTATCATTTGCCCTTCATTGGGAATTACCGCGAAATCGTTAATACGGGAAAATTAGGTAGGTATAATACTAGACAAGTTTTTACGCGCACTTAATTTCTAATTTATTTCGGACTCATTGTAGGTAGCTCAATAATTTTCTCACCATTTAATTGATGCATTATCCTAGTTTGACATACTCAGTCAGTTTCATTTTGAACCGATTCCAAATTGGCAGAAAATAGTATTCCGTGGTACAACGTCCTGATTTTCATCAAAATTGAATTTCTTTACAACATCATCAATCGGTACTGGTTCATCCAAATGATTTTTTTTACCGAAAGTTGAGTAGTTCATCAGGGATCAATTCGTCTCGAATGAGTGTGCATCTAATTATTAAATTAAATGAGCTTTAATCTTTCAATTACGAACGCACCGATATGAAATGATGTGAAATCACAACCTACTAGTGTGACGTCAGCATCGAGGTAGAGGGGATAGAATACGGCCCGGTGAGATAGAGTATAGGCCCTGTCTAAAGGCGCTCAAATTCGCGAGACAGCCGTTTACGATGCCAATAAGGTGCTGTCGGTTCGAATCCGGCTTGGCTGAACATCTGGCAGCACTTCGGAGATTGAAATACTTGGAAGTACGTACCGTAATTCTGAAAGCGGATGAAATTCCGTTGACTGGACATTCATTCGAATTATTGTGCCAACTCCAGGATGGATATGGTGCAACAATTGGATTGCCATTTCTCGTCCTGTCAGTCACAATACCAAGTGTTACCGGTGTACCACTGTGAATCCTTGGTGTAGTGATGAAAACGGTGCTTGTATTACCTGAAGAAAAAAATAGGTATAGGAAGAGAGGAAGCCCAAAATCATCTCCACCATGATTAAATAGTATAATTTAGATATGGAACATATGTTGGATCCAGAAATCATCCATGGGTAACTGTAATTCTGTAGGATTGCTCGTTCAGTTTTTTTCGGCAATTTTGAAACTACATATTCCAGAGCTCATCACCAAAGAGCTCAACACAAAAATGAACTGAACTGTTTGCATTTCCCTATAGCGTGAACTCTTGCCTAGAGTATGCTTGGGAATTTGCCAAGGCTTTTGAAGTACCTGGCTCGTACTCTCCTATTCCAGTTCCATCTTATATTTTGGAGCCATCTTTATACCACTTTATGGCTCCTTCTTTGAGATTACTATCAATGGGTACACTGTTCCATTTTTTGGCAGCTCAGCCTCGTGGTGATTTGTTTCACGAAGTTGTACTTTCAATCTATCTCATCCTGAAGCAAATTCCTAGATTTGCTAGTTGAGTGGGCAAATTGGCCTGCCTTTGATCAATTCTTCTATAATCATTCTATATCGTTCTCATTGCCGTATTCTCGACAACTAAATGTAGAGAAGTGGGTTCTAGAATCACCTCAATTGCGGCAATGACACGTTCTCATAGATACTGTAATGAATGGGTTGACAGTGGAAAGTATTCCAACAAAATGTCGGCTAGTCGAAATTGGATAGAGCTGTTAGTCATAAGAAGATAATTTATTCATTCAACCAGTCCAAGAGTGGATATACAACATGAGGATGTAAGACTTCTTCATGATACATATACAGGCTGATTATGGATTCTTTTTGGCTCCAAAACATGTCCCCTATTCGGAATGAACTATCAAATCGTCATAGAGATGATTTTGAGATATCTCTCTCCCTCAATTATATACTACTTTAGTTTGAGCTATAATGGAATTTAGTCAACGTTGAAGTTAATAGATATTCATGGACTAAAAATCGTTCAATAAAATTATGCATGTCAAGGAACTGCCGTGCAACAGTGTTTTATATACAAAGGATGTTGAAATACCTATATAATCTTGTTCGTGATATCTGCTTCAGAAACTCTGCTCGAGGACAGCTACTTCAGGGTTGATTTCTTGGGGGTAGATATATAAGAAATAATGTTTTTATCGATGAATACATGTTCAATTGTATGTAGTAAGTCTTATCGTCGTCAATCAAGAGATTTTTTGCCAAATGATAATAAAATGTGGATACCCTTTGAAATGTATTTATCAATAATAATATTTCTCGAATGTATTTTAGGGAGATGAATACGCAACAACTACCGTATAAAGACAATTTGGTTTGAGAATGAAACGACGTTGTGTCAAGAGAACTCGAAAATGATCTAACATTAGTAGTAAGACAAAGAGAGCCACAGCTCACATAGGGCTTTACCTATTGGGACTTCTAGATCATGATCTAGAGTTCCCAATAGGTAAAACCCTATGTGAGTTGTAATTCTACTTTTTCACAAAATGCTAACATGTAAACCCCTATGTGAGTTCGTAACCTAAAGAGAGAACTAAATCACATAGGCCTTTCAGTACTTGTACTTGATTTAGAAATCGAAGTACTGAAAACCCTATGTGAGTTGGAATTCTACTTTTTCACAAAATGCTAACATGTAAACCCCTATGTGAGTTCGTAACCTAAAGAGAGAACTAAATCACATAGGCCTTTCAGTACTTGTACTTGATTTAGAAATCGAAGTACTGAAAACCCTATGTGAGTTGGAATTCTACTTTTTACCAAAACGCTAACATGTAAACACCCGTATGTGAGTTGGTAACCTGAAGAGAGGGACAGATCACATAGGGCGTTACTTCAACTCATGATCTAGAGTTCCCAATAGGTAAAACCCTATGTGAGTTGGAATTCTACTTTTTCAATAGGTGAAGTTCTATGTGATTTCGTAATGTGAATATTGTCTGTTTTTCAATGAATTGCGAGAAGGTCTTAACGGTGTCGAAGGATCACCCTGTGATTCCGGATCGCCCTGTACACGGCGATTCTGGTCGCGCAAATTAGCATTATGCGCCATTAACTCCGATATTACTGCAATCTATAAAAATGTGCACTTATTGCACAAACAGAGAAATAGACCTAATAAGACTGATAAGAAATTTCTGGAAAAACAAATTAGCGATATAATGATTTGCGTCAGTAATATTGCTGAATAATCATAATTTATTTTAATGAGGGCCCAAAAAGGTATAAAAGAAATAGAAGGTAATGTGGAAAGCATTGCATTGTGAAAGTTCTTCTTAAACTTGTGAAAACCAACATAAAACATTCTCAAGGTGGGTAAGTAATGTTATGTTACATAATATTGTCTCATCAGTGTGTATGATTCGGTTCAACTTTTGAAGATGATTTGAATATTTCTACACTATTTCCATCTTCATTGCAGATGGATCTCGAAGCAATCAATAAGGAAGGATCTTTGGCTAGAAAAGAAAGCATCAAGTTGTCTGATCTGCATGCTGATACACCGTATCCTATAAGTTCACTACGTGTCGTCAAGACCCGATTTGGTAATAGCATTCTCGTCGAGCTGGACAACAACGTTGTGTTTCTACCCAACAGAGTAACACATTTACTGAAGGGACAAGAAGCAAAATTTGTTCCAGGCAAGTATTCCCTGGTATACAAAGGACTTAAAGACGTAGGGAAACCGAAGGAGGCTTACCAATTTGAGTTGGTCGAAACTGCGAAGAAATAGCATTGCGAGTGAGTGCGTTCTATAATGAAATTTTGATAATATTTAGATATGGACACTCAATATTGTTGCCGTTGTGAAAAATATTATTGTTTTTGTAAAAATTCTATAGGTTTGCATAATTTTCTCTCTACTCTGTCAAATCTTCAAGCAGCATACAATTCGAAACCGTCAGATGAAAAAAATATATCAGGAGTCGATAATACAAATTTGTACTGCACAGAAACGTTACAAGATAGTCCATGTGGAAATAATTCTACAAATCATTTCGATTGTATGCAACAAGGTTGTAGTTCTGACTCAAATAGATCTGTGGTATTTAAATTGTCAGAACCACCAAAAAAGAAACATTCAAACTCAGGTAATTGTGAAGAATTAGACTTGTCAGAACCACCAAGAAAAAAGAAATTTATTGATTGAATTCCCAAAATATAAAATAATTTTCAAAGTGTTATCTGTATATTATTATTGTACGTTGAAATCGAGATTTGTGGTGTCATAAGAAGAAGTGAAATGGAGGAATCTGATATTGCCAAAACGAGTGATTACATCGTGAGTTTATTCAATAAAGCATTCAAGCTTCTCTCAGATTCCACTAATTCAGCAACCAAAAAACACTGGATCAAATTGAATGATCATCATCAAAGGTTATTCAATAAAGCTATCAGAGAAACGCATATGAATGTTTCATCGTTGAAAAAACTTCAAACTAATATCGGACACTTGAAACGATTCAGAAAATTGATTAATGATCTTTGCATATCGCATGTTGGTAGAGGACTTAGTGCATACTCTGGAAAAACGAGGAAAGAAAGGATTAGGTGGGAAGATATACAGTCGGCTTTTTCAGGACGCATTCGATCAGGAATAATAATTAATTTGAAACACCTTGATGTTAAACAGTTCTTGGAAGATTCATTTTCCCTTTTTCAAAACAGAATAAACAGAATGTTGAAAACATTTCATGTTATGAAAGTTAATACTTGCTTTTGTGGTGAATTCATGAAGAATAATAAAAATGATGAAGTAATAATTGAATACAAATATCTCAATACGAAAAATTTCATCATTGACATTGGTGTTGATTTGAAAAAATGGTATGAAAACAATGTGATTGACGTTCTCTTGAATAAATTAGATGAGTTCCAAGAACGTGATAGTGGTTGGGCCTTACACAAAATAGTTAGTTTAGAAGTCAATATAAACAAGGTGGAAATGGGGAATGGAGGTGCATCCTACATTAAACTTCCTAGCCAAATCGAACGTAAGCGAGCTTGTGTCAATGTAAAAAATTCAGATGAAGCTTGTTTTGCATGGGCTATCACTTCATGTTTATTTCCTGCACAACGTAACTCTTTCAGAACTTCTTCGTATCCGCATTACAGTGAGGTTTTGAATGTGACAGGTATTCAATTTCCTATGAGGTTGAACCAGATTTCAAAATTCGAAGTTTTGAACAATTTATCTGTTAATGTGTTCATTCTGGAAATGGATCGGAATAAACAGATGACTACGGTTCCAATAAGGATTACTAAGAATAAGATTCCAGAAAGACATGTCAATTTATTGATGATTCAAGATGAATATGTTGTCAGGGAAAACTTGATGGCACTCGATGGAGATGTTGAAGAACCATCATTTTTCGATGACAATGTTGTCGATAAAAAATTTCATTTTTGTTGGATAAAAAATTTATCACGATTAATTTCTAGTCAGATAGGAAAACACAACGGTAAAAAGTATGTATGTGATAGATGTTTAAACTATTTTACAAAACAAGATACATTGGATTCACACAGTATTCATTGTCAAAAAGTGAACACAACTAAAATATCATTTTCAGAAGAGAAATACATATCTTTCAAGAATTTTCACCATAAAGAAAAATTGCCATTCGTAATTTATGCCGATTTTGAGTCTTTGCTCATACCATTCGAAGAGAAACAGAGAAAAAAACTCATAAAAACAGCTCGCTATCAGAAACATGAAGCGTTCAGTGTAGGCTATTACTTGAAATGTAATTATGACCAGAATTTGACTTTTTACAAGAGTTATAGAGGTACTGATTGTATCGAATGGTTCGTTAATGAAATGAATGCCGTAACAGATCTCATAGACTCGAAATTGCAAGTCAATATACCGATGAAGATAGATAATCAAGATGTTCAAGACAAAACTACATGCCACATTTGTGAAGAACCTTTCACGACGTCCGATACTATCGTACGTGACCACGAGCATTATACAGGGAGATTTCGTGGATTT